CTAAAACTCCCTGTTTTTCCCCATTGGCACAGTTGTTTTTATTACACAGTGAAGCAACCCAGCCCTCCATCCCCTTCCCTCTGATAGCTACCATACTGTTGTCTGTGACTATGAGTTTCAGTTTTATATCCCACATATGAGTAAAATCATATGGTTCTTGGCTTTTCCTGACTGACTTATTTCACTTAGCATAATGTTCTCAAGGTCTATCCATGTTGTTGTAAATAGCACTATTTCATCCTTTCTTATGGCTGAGTAGAATTCATATATATATATATATATATATATATATATATATATATATATATCTCGCATATTCTTTGATTGGCTGACAAGCAGCCCCTGAACGATGGGTGAACAGATTACTCAGCCACAGTTTAACTGTGAAAGAGAGGGCTAAGGGGCCCCTGGCTCTAGTGGCCAGAGTAGCCTCTATTGCCTGTCTTGTTAAGCCTTTATTGGAATTTTTATCTTTATATGCAATCAGTAGGATGGATAATCTTGGGAAGATACGTGTTTACATTGTCCTCTAGGAGAGGGCATTCAGGGATTAAGCATAAGGATTCCAGTAAACACCTGGGTGTCTGCATGTACACAGACTTGTTTGGAAAGGTCAAGGAATAATTAGGAGCACCTCCTTCAACACTCCCTTAAGTCTCCCCTAAGTCAGAATTCAATAAATGGGGCAGGTAGCCTTCCACATACGTCCCTTTTATCAGAATGTCCTCCTTACAAACTTCCAACCAAGTCTCTTGTACTCCCCAACACTTCTTTTTATTTTTAATAAACATTTATTGTTCAGATTATTATAGTTGTTCCTCTTTTCCCCCCCTTAGCTCCCCTCCACCTAGTTCCCACCCCACCCCATACCCTTATCATCCTCCACTGTCCTTGTCCATAGGTGTAAGATTTTTGTCCAATCTTTTCCCGCACCTCCCACACCCTTTTCCCCTGAAAATTGTCAGTCCACTCCCTTTCTAAGCCCCTGATTCTATTATATTTACCAGTTTATTATGTTCATCAGATTTTTTATTCACTTGATTTTTAGATTCACTTGTTAATATGTATCTGTTGTCACTTTGTTATTCATAATTTTTATGTTTATCTTTTTCTTCCTCTTCCTCTTAAAGAATACCCTTCAGCATTTCCTATAATACTGGTATGGTGGTGATGAAATACTTTAGCTTTTTCTTATCTGTGAATCTCTTTATCTGACCTTCAATTCTAAATGATTGTTTTGCTGGGGTAGAATAATATTGGTTGTATTTTTTTGCTATTCATCTCTTTGAATATTTCTTGCCACTCCCTTCTGGCCGGCATAGTGTCTGTTGAGAAATCGTCTGACAGTCATATGGGTGCTCCCTTGTAGGTAACTGTTTTTCTCTTGCTGCTTTTAAGATTCTCTCTTTGTCTTTTGCCTTTGGCATTTTAATTATGATGTGTCTTGGTGTGGTCCTCTTTGGATTCCTCTTGTTTGGGGTTCTCTGCACTTCCTAGACTTGTAAGTCTATTTCTTTCACCATGTAGGGAAAGTTTTCTGTCATTATTCCTTCTAATAGCTTTTCAATATTTTGCTCTCTCTCTTCTTCTGGCACCCAAATAATTCTGATGTTGGTACACTTACCTTCACTGAATAGAACAAGATGGCACCTCCCTGCTCCCCCACGTGAGTGGTTTTAGATAAGACCATATAACACAGAAGTTTAAAGAAGATCCAGTGTTGCTTAACATAATATGAAAATGTTCAGGTTTCAACCGAAAATCACTTATCATACCACTCTTATTCCACATAGTACTGGAAGTTCTATCCAAGGAAATAATGCAAGAAAGGGAATACAAATCAGATAGGAAGAAATAAAACTATTTGCGATGAAATGATTGCCTATTTAGAAAATTCCAACAATCTACAAAAAAAAAAAAGTCCTAAAACTAGCATATGAGTTTAATAATGTCACTGGATATACAAAAATTAATGGGTTTCTAGATACTAGCAATGAACACACGACTACTGAAATTAAAAATACATCACTTACAGCCTCTCAAAAAATACAAATTAACTAGGTATAAAGCAAAGAAAAAAAATATATATATCACTTGTATGCTGAAAACTACAAAACTCTGATGAAAGGAATTAGATATAAAATAGACAGTGTTCATGGGTTGGAAGACTCAACACAGTAAAGATATCAGTTCTTCCCAAATTAATATACAGGTTTAAAGTAATTCCTATCAATATCCAGTATGATTTTATAGTTGTAGACAAAAATAATTTTAAATTTATGTGCAAAGGTCAAGACAATAGAATATCAAAAAATTATAAAGTAGGAAGATTCAGCCTTCCCAATTTCAAGATTAATTAGATAGCTATAATAATTAAGATCATTGATAGAGACACAAATAGATCAATGGAACAGAAGAGGGAACCCAGAAATACATCCTCAAAAATATATCCAACTAATTTTGACAAAGGTGCAAAGCAATTTAGTGACGGAAATATAGCTTGTTCAATAAGTGGTTAGGGAAGGAGACTTGACTTGGGGTGGTGAACACGCAATACAATATACACATGCTATATTATAGAATTGTTCACCTGAAACCTATATAATTTTATTAACCAATGTCACCCCAATAAATTCAATTTTAAAATGTTTATTGCTAGAATTAACCACAGGCATACATGTAACTTAAAAATAAAAATCAATAAATGGTGATGAAACAATTGGACATCCATAGGCAAAAGAACAAATGAACATTGATCTAAATATCATACCTTATACAAAAATTAAGTCAAAATGCATCACAGAGTTAAATGTAAAATGTAAAACTCTGAAACTTGTAGGAAAAAAAATCTTCAGCATCTAGGTTTAGGTAAATAGTTCTTAGACATAACCTCAAAAGCATGATCCATGAAAGGAAAACTTGATAAATTGGACTTTATCAGAGTTTAAAAACTTTTGCCCTGTGAAAGATCCTATTAAGAAAATGAAAAGAAAACCCTGATAGCTAACAAAATATGAGTATCTAGAATATGAAGAACTCTGTCCATCCTGAGTGGCTCAGTTAGTTAAGCTTTGTACTGTGCACCAAAAGGTTACCAGTAATTCCCGGTCTAGCACATACCTGGGTTATGGATTCAACCCCTGTTAGAGCACAAAGATGATAGATCATTGTTTCTCTCTCACATGAATGTTTCTCTCTCTCTCTCTCTCTCTCCCTTCCCTCTCCCCATCCTTTTCTCCCTTTCTCTCTCTAAGCATGTCCTAGGATGAGGATTTAAAATTAATAAAATAGGCCGAAACCAGTTTGGCTCAATGGATAGAGCGTCGGCTTGGGGACTGGAGGACCCGGGTTCGATTCCGGTCAAGGGCATGTACCTTGGTTGCGGGCATATCCCCAGTAGGGGGTGTGCAAGAGGCAGCTGGTCGATGACTCTCTCTCATCGATGTTTCTAACTCTCTATCTCTCTCCCTTCCTCTCTGTACAAAATCAATAAAATATATTTTAAAAAATAAATAAATAAAATAAAATAATAAAATTAACAAAATAGAATATAAACTCTCAAAACTAAACATAAAAAAATTCAATTAGAAAATGATCAAAGATAGATATAGAGACAGTATATCAACAAGCAGACTGTCGAGTTACAGCGGGGAGAGGAGGAAGATCTGGGGGGGATAATAGATCAACCGAAGGACTTTTTTACATGCACATAAGTACAACCAATGGACATAAAACTCTGGGGAGGGAGGGGATGTGAGGAAGGGAGGGAGGGGGGGGCAAAAAAATAAATAAAAAAATATATATATATTTAAAAAAAAAAAAAAAGACTGAAGAAAGGACCTCTTTTCCACTATTTCGAATGCTTAATAGCTAATTTCATAACATCACATGTACCATTTTAAGAAAGTGATGATTTAGTGGGAAATTAAAGCTTTGCATCTGTATACTGTAAATATAAATGACGATTTGTTTGAAATGTGTAACTTGGATATGCAAAAGATAATAACTCACAATGTTAATATTAAATATTCCTTCAAAATAAAAAATTTAAAAAAAATTTAAAAAAAAAAGAAAATGATCAAAGGACATGAAGAGACGTATTACCAAAGATATACAGATGGCAAATAGGCACATTAAAATATATTCAACATTATTAGTCATTAGAGAAATGCAAATGGGACATCACTACAGCTGAATCACCAAAATCTGGAAACAATCCAGATGTCCTTCAACAAGTGAATGGCTAAAACATTGGTGGTACACCCATGGACTACTACTCAGCAATAAAAGGGAACAAACTATTGACATACACAACATGGTGCCATGTAACACCTGGCAGAATCTACAGAGTATTTTTCTGAATGGGAAAAAAAAATTACATACTGTATGATTGCATTTATATAATATTCCTTACATAATAAAAGTATAGAAATGGAGAAGAGATTACTGGTTGCCAAAGATGAAGGTGGGGTTGGGGATAGCATGGGGAACCCTTGTAGTGATGGCAATGTTCTTTAGCTTAACTTCATCAGTGTCGATGTCCTGGTCATGATAGTATAGTTTTATAAGATATCACCATTAGGCGAAATTGGGTAGAAGCTACACAGGATTTCACTGTGCTGTTTCTTACAACTGCATGTGAGTCCACAATTATCTCAAAGTAAAAAGTTTAAAATAACCAAGCTCTTAAAAATTGAATGTATAGGATTATTTGGGAATTTAATGATAAAAATGTACAAACCATCCGAACTTGTTGGACACCATCCTCTATCCTCATATGCTTCAATCCTTGTTCTTTTTCTAACAGTTCTGGATAGGTGGTGGGTGGGTAAGTAGATGGCTTTTATATTGTGCAGTTACAATTTTTTCAAAGGAAAATATGATTCATGGAAAAAGCCTGGGTGTACCAGTGGGTCATTCTTCATTATCCCATGATTCAGGGGAATGCCTCAAGTCTATAGTCATTGCATATAAAATTTCACATTTCTCCCCATCTTCAGGAAAGCCATTAGTGAAAACATCGCGAATGACCGTGATCAACACCAAGGAGCCTGCCATCACAGTGGATATAGGAGGCACCATCAAAACAGTGCGGGGAGTGAATGTGACCATTAACTGCCAAGTTGCAGGTGAGAAATTCCCTTAGGTGTCAACTCTTAATGGAGTCCTGTGCTAAGGTGGGGATACAGAGATAAACATACATTCTGTTCTCAGGGATTCAGGGGTAGTAGGAAAAGCATGAACCTCAGTCACTCTGAAACTGGAAAGTGCCATAGAAGTTTAGAGGAGGAAAGAAGAATTTTGACTGGGACAGATGAGATAGAAGAGGTGGTTTTTATCTCAGCCTTGCCTATTGATAAAATGTAAGTGTGCAAAGATGGAGCAAAGAGCATTCCAAGTAGAAAAAGAGAGAGAAAATTCAGGGGAGTAGGAAAGCCTCGGGACTGTAAAAGAACAGTGTGTGCTGGGGTCTGACTGGAGCCCAGAGTGCAGAAAGGGTATAGAGGGGCTTAAGCTGTAGCAGGGTGGGCTGCAACTGCACCATGGGAGATTTTGAATGCTTGGCCAAGGAGTTTAGACCAAGGCAGACAGTGATGTTAGGGAGCATGCTTCCAGAGGAGTGAGCTGCCAGCAGTGCACACAATGGATTAAAGAATGGAAATACTGAAACAGTGAGCCCAGTTAAGAAGCCATCATAATAGTTTACAGGAGAGGTAGTGGGGGCCTGAACTCAAAGCAGAGGTGGTAGAAAGCTAAAGAGCTCATAGCAGACCTGGAACTTACTCCATCAGAAGAGAGTAGGAGTCATTAACGAAAGTAGCCAGCACATAGGAGTTATGAGACAGGCATTGACCTTGGGTTGGCTTTGCAAACTCAGAGGCCAATAGGGACCAGAAAGTCACAGTGAAGCCGAGGAATATTGGACAACGGTGCATGGTGGTATGCTCTGTATAAAGGTATTTATTTCAATTTAAAAGAAAAAAGAAAAAAGAAAAAAAAGCCCAGCTACTAATTGCCTCTCCTTGTGGCTTAGTTTGTGCCGACTATCCTAAGGGTTTTCATGCCACAATGCAAATAACGAATGAAAGGTTCTTGTGCCAGGGCCCAGCAACAGTCCCCTGATTGCTGTCCTCATCAGATATCCTCTACTGCGGCACACCCTGACCCAAGCTCCCCGGTCATATCCTGCCTGCAGAGTAGAAACCAGTAAAAATAAAAATTATTTTTACTCATAGAATGATTTGTATTAAAACAACTTCTTTGTAAAGCTTCCTTTGGTCTGCACATCCAACCTCATCAGTGAAACCTCCTAGAACCAAATCCCTTCAGGCCCAGGACTCCCACATGCGGAGCAAGATAAAACCCCTGGCAGGGCTTCCCATGAAAGAGCTGTCCCCTGGTGATGGTGCAGGTGGGACCCTGCTATAGAGCCATCACTTCCCACCTGAACACAGTCCTTGGAGACAGAACAATGACTATAGATATAATGGACAGTGTTGGGTATTCTCTTGAGAGTTCAGATGAGTACAAGAAAAAGAATGGGAGTAGCCCAGCTGGCATGGCTTAGTGGTTGAGCATTGACCTATGAACCAGGAGGTCATGGTTTGATTCCTGGTCAGGGTATATGCCCTGGTTGCAGGCTCAATCCCCAGTGTGGGGTGTGCAGGAGGCAGCCAACCAATGATTCTCTCTCATCATTGATGTTTCTCTCTCTCTCTCTCTCTCTCTCTCTCTCTCTCTCTCTCTCTCTCTCTTTCTTCTCCCCCTCCCTTTCCTTCCTCTCTGAAATAAATATTTTTTTTTAATTTTAAAGAAAAGAATGGGGAGCACTGGAATTAGTCACTGGAAAGAGACTGAGACCCAGGATTCAGGTGGGGAAGTATTTACCACCAGGAACCCAGGACACTAAAACCAGCATTGGCCAACTCTCCCTTGCCGCCTGGAGCCCTTCCTCCCCAGCTTCATCCAGAGACTGACTCTTATGAGATCTGAGGTTGTCATATCCAGTTTTGGCTGGCCGTGCACATTAAATTCTTTATTTTTACTCATAGAACTATTTGTAGTAATCATGGTTAACTAAAATAAATCTGTGTCGCTGTCATTATGCCTTTTAGGGTGAGAAAGAGCATGCTATTTTTTTATTTCCAAATTTTTTTCCAACTACAGTTGACATCCAATATTATTTTGTATTAGTTTCAGGTGTATAGCATAGCGGTTAGACAATCATATACTTGACAAAGTTTCCCCCTCCTTGTATTTTAAGTACCCACCTGGCACCATCATAGTTATTAAAGTATTATTGACTGTATTCCCTATGCTGTACTTTACATCTCTGTGACTATTCTGTAACTACCAATTTGTACTTTTTAATCCCCTCACCTTTTTCACCCAGCCCTCTACCCCCCTTTTGATTACACAGTTGTTCTGTGAATTTACTGAACAAAAAAATCATCCTTAACCTCAATCTCCAGTCAAAATGCTGTCAGCTATAATGCTCAATGGCAGAAGGAACTACTTTTACTTTGCTGCTACAAGTAACTATTATGGCTCTCTTATGACATAATTTTAGTGGCCATATAATAGTCTATTTTAAGAATATTACCTAGTTTACATAGAGTGAGTGACTCATGTCCTTACATGTTTGAGTTTTTAGAAGTTTTTCATTAACTACCTTTTTGCACACATATGCTTTCAACTTGTAAAACTCAGCCTCACAAATTCTTCCCAACCCTTAAACATAAAAAGCATTAGGCAATGAGCATGCAGAGGCTTTTTCTTGAAAAATGATCCAATTTATTGTACCACCCCTATACTTATTCTCTGTTTGAGAAGAGTGCAGAAAACTGAGTAGGTGATAAAAATTTGGGGAAGGAAATAGTGTTTCATTCATTGTGAATAGAATGTGCAAAGGGCCTGAGGTAGAAAGAGCATGCTACCTCTGAAGGAGTGAAACATGACTGGTGTGATTGTGGAACAGAGAACAGAGAAGAAAGTGTCATGACATGTGGCTAAGAGGTTGAGGGACAGTTGGCAAGAGCTAGATCTTGCAGATTCTCATAGATTATAGTACAATTTGGTATTTTTACCCTACGAGCAAGGGAAGCTTTTAAAGGATTTAACAGATAAAATTGTCAGGACTAATGATGCAGAAATAACTAGTTGAGTCATTGATTGGGCAATATGTTAGAGTAGGCTAGCCTCTGGTAACACGTAAGCCCCCAAATGTATGCATGGCCAACTCTCCCTTATGCATGCACATAAGTCCTTTGGTGGATCTCTTCCCCTTCCCCCCCTCCTCCCTTACTTTCCCTCTGAGGTTTGAGAGTCTGATAGCTGGTTCTCTTTCTCTAAGTCTGTTTATGTTCATTATTTCCTCTAGATGTGTGAGATCATGTGATCCAAAAAATACCCTTGTAAGAACCTAAACTGCAACAAGCCATAATGGTTATGCTGAGAGGCAAATGAATCGGTCTGTAGTGAGTTCCTTTCTGGGTCAACAGTTCTTTTGAGTCCCAATTTCCCTAGAAGACTTCTTAAGGGAGGTATGCAATCCCAATTCATATGTGCACACTCTCCCCATCTCTTTCTCAATGACAGTGAACTTGGACTGAGGAGAGAACAGAGTACTTCCTGTCTTTTTTTTTTTTTTCTGTGCTGCTGATACCTTAGTTCCATGTTCTCTTGTTCTAAGAAAATACACAGGTTTCAGCCATGTTCTCTATATGTGTCCTCAACTCAGATAAGGATCTAGCAGCTCTCCTTTGTCTGGTTCTTGAATGTATTAACTTTTGTGGCTTTTACTGAAGTGTAATATCTCTACAGAAAAGAGCACATGTCATAAAGGTGCCAAACTCACCAAACCAACTCCCAGGTAAAAAAAAACAGAGCCTTACCAGCAACCATTACCCTGACTACTAGGTTGATGTTACCAGTCTTTGTTTCTTACTTAGAGAAAGGAAATCGTGCATTATATACTCTTCTGTGTCTGACTTCTCTTACTCAGCATCTTGTTTGCTCACATAGCTGTCTATCGTTCATATTCACTGACGGACCCAGGTTTGGTTGTTATATTTTTATAATGTTTCCTCAAAAGAATCTTTGTATTTTCCCCCCACCTTGGAATTGCCCTTTACCAGCTGCATACTTCCTCTTCTTTGACTGGCTTCCCTCTTCCTGCCTCATCAGTGTAAGTTCAAAAATCAAAAGACCTCCAGACAACGGGGAGGCCCAGGGCATTATTTAGTTTGGCCAAAGGCTGGTAGAAAACGCCCAGGCAGATGCTTCCTGTGGAGTGCCCGCCAAGAGGCTATAACTGCCTCCAGAATCACCTGAACGTGTTTGGCTGATGTGTTTATTTATTTATTTGTTTGTTTGTTTATTTTTGCTTCCTAGGTGTGCCCGAAGCTGAAGTCACTTGGTTCAGGAATAAAAGCAAACTGGGCTCCTCTCACCATCTGCACGAGGGATCCTTGTTACTCACAGACGTGTCCTCCTCAGATCAGGGCCTCTACTCCTGCAGGGCAGCCAATGTGCATGGAGAGCTGACTGAGAACACCCAGCTTCTGATCCTAGGTAAACACCTTGAGGCTGGCTGTCCCTGATGGGCCCCGTTAGGGGTGACTCACTCACCTCCTCTTTTCCATGGTCCAAATAAGTACATAAAGATAAAATCAATATCCCTCCCCTTCTCTCTACCTTAGGGCCTTCCAATAGAAAGAATATGGACTTTGGGGTCAGGCAGACATCAGTTTCAACCCTGGCTCTCCTGCTTACTCACTGTTGACCTTGGGCAAGTCACTTAACCTTGCTAACTTTAGATGCTGGTCTTGTGTGGAGATTAGCACATGTAATCCACACATACACCCTCCTGTTTTAGTCCACTCCAGCCACTATAATAAAACACCACAGATAGGTAACTTATAAACAACAAAAATGTATTTCTTAGATTTCTAGCTGCTGGAAATCCAGGATCGGGGTCTAGTTAAGGCCCTCTTCTGGCTACAGACTGCCTGGTTCTTGCCATGTCCTCATTTGACAGAGGGATAAGCCAACTCTCTGGGGTCTCTTTTATAAGGACACTAATCCCCTTATGGCATAAGCACCTCCCAGAGTCCCCCCTATCTCATACCATCACCTCAGAGTGTGTTTAGGGTTTCACCACATGAATTTGAGGGGACACAAACATTCAGACTAGAGTACTCCCTAACATAAGAATTCCTGATTGAAGAGTCTTATCACAGCTCCTGGCATAAAGCGGGTATTTAAAATGAACAGCAGTTGCTTGGACACCACCATCCTTTGCTGTTACCCAGAGCAGGACTCAGCATGTTGTGAGTTGCAGCCCTTGTCCCTTGGACTACGGATTCTGTTTCTCTTCACCACGGAGGCTGGGAGTTGGTGGAATAGAATAAAAAAATGCTTGCTTTTGTCCTACTTTTTTTATAAAGGCTATTATTAGATCACTTTCTCTTGGTGAGAAAGGTGTCATTTTAAGGGGGGGAGAGAAAATATATGGTTAATTGTACACTATGACTTCACCAGGGAAAATAATTAAAAGTTATAATTGTATTCACACCCCAAGTTGATGATATACCAAAACCCAGCATCTCCAGCCGCTGCCAACTCAGAGAGACCCATATGGCTTTCACCTCACCAGTGGCTGCATAAACCTCCAGTTGTCTTAGGAAGTCAGAGAAAAGCAGCTCGTTGAAGGATGTCATTTGTTTTGGGTTGGGTTTCATCATCTGAGCTGCTAGTCTGGAGCCGGGGCCCAGAGCCTTTTGCCCCACACTGAGTTATGGTGCTTACTGTGGGTTTCTCCTCCCTCATAACCTTTCCCTGTTGCCTCTGCTAACAGCGATGAAAGCCTAGGATGTGTAGCTACTGCTGTAGCTTTGCCAATGAAGTGTGTGTATTCTGGGAGCCAGTCCTTGCAGCATTTCAGCACTAATATGGTGTGACTGGGAGCATGGGGCTTGAAGAGCAGAACGGCTTCCTGTATTAATCAAAGTTGAGGAGGAAAAAAAAAATCACTATTTTAGGCTCTTAAGTTTAGCTTTTCTTAATCAGAAGCCTTGATTTATTAATCAAAGTTTGTTAGCTTTATAGGTACTTTATGAACTTAGAAATAGTGCTTCCTTTTTTATCAGCCAAAAATATGGCTTAATTTTTAAATCAGGCATTTCATATAGAAAGCTGCAATTTTATGCCAAGTTCTGTGATTTAACCTGTAGCCAGGAGACTTGATATATAATGAGACAGAATATTATTCATTTATTCACATAGCCACTGGATGATTATTCATTAAGTGCTGCCTCTAAGTTCCATATAGGACAACTATCAGGGGTAACCTCTTACCTTGGAGAAGTTACAGTGTCCCTGAGAAGATCAAATGGACATATACCAAAAAAGAAAAATGTCATAGAAGCTGTGAGGACATGAGAAGGTGTCGACATTTGGCCCAAGGAGATCTGATGGGTTTTACCAAATAAGCAGAGGCTTCCTGAGTTTCAGCATTCTTAAGGAAATATTCAACTGCAATATTGAGGGAACTCAGTTTCCCTCAATATTTGATTTCAGTGCTCTTGAGGGGATATTAAAAAGGGTGAGAGGGGGGAAAAGTCTGGGTTTGAGTAAACAGCCACCATCAATTCCTAAAACCGTGATGTTTGAGAGTAGAAAGAAATCTTGGAAAAGATGAGGTTCCATTTAATAGATGAGGAAACTAAGGCTCAGAAGGTTTTAGTGACTTGCCCAAGTTAGTGAAAGACAGAGCCACAGCTCAAACTGCGGGTTCCTAAACCCAAGCCAGATCTTTTCCCCTAGATCATATAAAGAATACTTTAAATTACTTATATGTATATAGTATATAATGTCTTTGCAATTTAAAATTTTATATATCTCAACCTAATCATTGTTTTCTGTACACAGTAGTCCAAGGCAGAGTAGATAGAAGTATGTTTCTGAACTAGACTCTGGCACCTTCATTACCTAACAAGTACATAACAAGGTGGCAAGCACATAATAGGCCTTCACTGAACCCTCAATTGCCTCAATGAAATAACCATCACCTTGGTTGTGGGCACATCCCAAGTAGGGGTTGTGTGGGAGGCAGCCGATCGATGTTTCAGAACAGCACTCTTATTTCTCTTTCCGCTCCAGCAAGGGCTGGGGAGGAAAAGGCAGGAGTGGGCCTTGGGAGTGTGAATTGCGGGGTGTCAGGAGATGCCAGAATGGGGGGGGGGGAGCAGGTGTCCGCAGTTTCCCAGGAGAACCAGGGGTCATCCCACCACTAGGTTCAGTAGCCACTTGCCTCTGTATTTGTCCAGTGGAAATGGCAAGCAAACCACTGTATTTCCCATTGCTGTCACCTTGGCTCTGCTTAACTGTGACCCCTGATAACTTCAGCCCTGACTCCTTATCAGAGTTTAAATAGCAAATGATCCCTGTCCCGTTTATCTGTCCTATTGAGCATGAGAAATTCACACCACAAAGCAAGTTAACTTATCGACTTCATAGATGAACCCTTTTCCTCATAAAAAAAAAAAAAAGACCATCATAGGCTTTTTTTTAAGTAAGAATTCCTGTAGCATATCCTTATCTGTGGGGACAAGAATAAAATGCAACCCCCCAAGGATGTTATAAATGAAAGCTCTTTAATATAGGACTTGACATGTAGTAATTGCTGAAGAAATGTTAGCTTTTCCAGAGTGTCTTTACAATGTGCTTTAATGTATACCCACATTTATAGGGACCCAGTGGTACTGTGGTATAAAGTGGTATTGGTCAGGAGCTTCTGAAATCTCCATGCCCGATTCTTATAACTGTCCTTATTGGTCCAAGTGTTGTTTGTAAATCAGACTCAATTTGATAGGCACACCTTCTCAACAGGAAAAATTATGTTAAAAGGCAACAAGAGTGATGCCTGCCTTACATACAGACACAATTACACGCATGCTCACCTCTTATTCCCCCCTTAATATGGCCTTCATGCTTTAACCTGTCTGATTCTCCATCTGCCTTCTCACAGATCCCCCTCACGTCCCCACGCAGTTGGAGGATATCAGAGCCTTGCTTTCAGCCACTGGACCAAACCTTCCTTCAGTGCTGATGTCTCCTCTGGGAACACAGCTGGTCCTGGACCCTGGGAATTCCGCTCTCCTTGGTGAGTCCAACCCTCTGGAACATTGGGCAGCAGTCCAGGGCTGGACAGGATTTATGGGTGGGTGACTGCTTGCAGGTGGGAAGGAGGCAGCAGTGGGGGGTGGCCAACAGGAAATCACTAAATTGCCTACAGAATCCAGACTCACCAGTGGAAACTTGGCTGACTTTCCATATGAGGTGAGCGCAGTTCTTAGTCTGGACTCTAGCTTGTCTAGATTCCAACGTGGCTCCTTTCTGCATCCTCTTGGGCTGATTCCACAGTCCAGATCCTCTATATCAGACTGACTCACCAAACGATGAGTAAGGAACAGCTTCTATATCTCCTCTTCTTGCCAATCACATCCCACAACTCCCTCCCAACTAAATGAGAACTCGAATCAATTTTCAAAGAAAAAGATGAAATATCAGCATCCCCCAAAAGCCAGACAATTATATTTACGCCAGCCTTATATTGGTAGGTCAACACCCAACCCAAGACAGATTCCTCAAAGCATGTGTTTAAATAACTTCACCGGGTACAACTTCCCTGGCATCTGTCTTTGGGACCTTCCCCAAGTTAATGCCCACATGGCTGGTGCCCTCTGGTAGTAGAGAGTTGTTCAAGAACATTCAAGTGCTGGGTCCCTCTCTCCTGAATCGTGGAGATGCCAGAGGAACCTCTGCATTCCCAACATGACCTCTGGAGATAGTCAAGGTGGAAGAGAAGAATTCTGCCTTCAGAAGCCTAAAAAAATAAGGCCTATAAATGGAAGAGAAATGTCATGCTAACTCTATATGGTTCCAAATATTGGTAATGGCAGCTAGAATTATTCCTTTGGCTCAAAGTTAAAAGTTTCTGTACCCTTAATTCCCATCAACTAGCAAGGACCAGGAAGCCAATGAATTTCTAGTCATACTGCTGATTATGCATTGTCAACATGGCCATGGGGTCAGGTATCTATAGGATTACAACACAAAAATATTACCTTCAGTTCTCATTATCATCTGAAATTAGCAAATACTCCTCACTGCATACGGGGGAAAGCTGCTGATTTCTCTGTTTCTGATCTGGGTAAAAATAAGACCCAGATAGAGAAATGTGTGGCCCTTTTCTGTTTCCCATAACTTATACAACTTGGCATTGAGTTTTTCCACATCATTTCGATCAGAGTTGATAGAAGTTGTAAACTGCTTGTTTTCCTTGGCTTATAAATGGTAAACTTATGCTAAATGAAGTGTGTACATTGTAAAGTTTTTTTTATTTTAGACTCGCCATTATGAGAAATTGCCATAACTATTCATAAGAGCCCAGTCACTAGCCGGGGGTACAGCAATTGCTTATTTTTAAGTTCAATAACTCTTGGGTCACACAGGTGCCATCCAGCGTGCTGGAAAAGTTAACCTGCTCGTATTTTTCCATGAGAGCTTTACTTTCTCCCTTATTCTGGGACAATATTTTGTCTCATTTTAGCTATGGGCAATAAGAATTTATTGTGCTTTATCCTGCTGTATTTCATTTCTAGTTTATAGTGTTTTGTTACCGTAGACTGGTATTTAAATCTAACAGTTAAGAGACACCTTAATACACCAGTTCACATACAAACTGCCCCATTTGAAGGAGACAGTGAGTCAGTTACCATAAAATCTCTGAATGTAATTGCATGGGCAGAAATGGGCCCTAGTGGTGAATGTCACTGTCTCGCCAGCACTGTAGAACTAGGAGAGATCTATATGGAGTTATGGAGATGAATTAGGGAATGGTGTGAAGTTTAAGGACTCTGAGAAGCAGGTTATTTGAAAAATACCAGGGCCTCACTGTGATGGTTTGGAACTGAGCACCAGGACTCCAAAGGCAGAAATGAAGGAAATAGGCACTCAGGGTGAAGAAGCTATAAGCGCAGAGATTAAGGTGTGTGGGGTGTGTATCGGATGCCTATTCAGTAACAGCTATAAAATACCATTGCTTTAAAACTGATAACGGGCAGCCAAACGGGGATAGAAACTAGGCTATCAAAAGGAGCAGGCCTCAGCTAAAGCTTGTCCACTCAGATTTGACTTGGATCCCTCCCCGAGATTTCTGATACCCTCCTTCATCTCAAATCTTCCAGCTGTTGACTTATCCTGATCTCTTAATCCAGCTGCTCCCCTTTGGACCAACTCCCATCTCCTCCTACCAGTGACCCTTTTAGATCAGAGTGTGTACTCTGAGTACAAGAAATAGGTCACGCCCAGCCAGTGTGGCTCAGGGTTTGAGCATCGACCTATGAACCAGGAGGTCACAGTTTGATTCCCAGTCAGGGCACATGCCCAGGTTGCCGGCTTGATTCCCAGTGTGGGGCATGCAGGAGGCAACTGATCAATGTTTCTTTCTCATCGATATTTCTGTCTCTCACTCTCCCTTCCTTTCTGAAATCAATACAAATATATTTTTTTCAAAAAAATAAATAAGGGAGGGAGGTGGTTCTGTGTATGGTTGATAAGAATATTAAATGGTGACAAACTGTGAAGAACCTTTATTATTAGACTAAGGAAGTATATTTACTATGTGGGAAATGGAAATAGACCTTTAGAGGGTTATTAAGTAGGAGAGTGATGTAGTAAAAGTAATATTTAATTAATCTGACATTCTATAAGGGTAATCAAGATTAGAAGAGATTTAATGAAGAAATCTATTTAGAGGGAAACACATAATCTAAGCGAAGCTAGAAGCAGGTACCAAAGATACTGTTAATTACCCCTTTCACAGCCAAGACATCCCTGATCAATCACAACATTCTTTTCCAATTAGTCCAGGCACTGCCTTGGAATTTATTTTAACACTAGAGGCCGGGTGCACAAAAATCGTGCACTCGGGGGGGTCCAAAAGCCAGTTCTGTGCCCTTTCCCAGTCTGGGAGCCCTCAAGATGTCCGTCAGTCAAACATCCTTGGCACTGCTGCAGAGGCAAGAGAAGCTCCTGCTACAGCTGCTGCACTCGCCAGCTGTGAGCCCAGCTTCTGGCTGAGTGGTGCTCCTGCTGTAGGAGCACAGTGACCACCAGGGGGCAGCTCCTGTGTTGGCCGTTTGCCCCCTGGTGGTTAGTGCGCGTCATAGTGACCAGTTGTTCCACAGTTTGGTTGATTTGCATATTAGGGTTTTATTATATAGGATTCTCTCCAAGCATGGTGGCAGTTGGCATATAGGTCAAGATTTTAGGTTTTTTAAAGCCATAGATCAAAACAATAACTCTCCTTTATTAAGGCTCCCAACAGGTGAGTCTACTCCAGAAATGGGTATTAAGTTGTCAGACACTCTGGCATTTATATCACTTCAAGCCACTGCTGTAACTTTCAAAAAGGAAGGTGAATTGAGCGACATGCACCCATCAGGCCTCACTTTCCAACACTATAAACGAAGATCTGGGACTAGTGGGTCCCTTGTTGCTCTTACACTCTTTGCTATATGACTTAGACATGAAAAATGCCCAGTGGAGGCTCAGCCATGCATAGTGGACCCAACCAACTTGGCTCTATTGTCCTAGGCAATGCAGGTGCTATTTTTTTGTCCTTGTTTTACAGTGGTCCTTTCTGCAGGGAGACCTAAACTGTGCCAACTATTCTGGAGGCAAAGCCCTTGCCTCCATCCTTAGTGGTCCGTTGCCTGGTCACGGGGCTCCATTTGAAGAACAGCAATAACTCGGGCCTTCCTCCACCTTGTTGCAGCCTTCTATTAAATATTATTAGCCACTGAGGCCCAAGGCTAATATGTCTCACAGTATCATTTATAGGGTATTAGCATTGATATATTTTTGAAAATAATTTTTATTGGAGTTTATTATAAGAGTAGTACATGCCCATTGTAGAATAAATAAGAATAGAAAAAAATGAAAATTAATTTTTTAGTTCAGAGATAACCAGTGCTAATATCTTTTTCTAACCATTAATATACACATTATACATATCTTTTTTTTTTAAACAAAATCATACTCGGTATACTGCTTGTAACTTATTACCACTGAATGGTAGATAATAATCATCTTTCCATGCCTGTAAATATTCTTCTACAGTTTTATTTTTGATGGTTGCATTGGTAGGAGGCACTATGTCTTATTCAACCTATTCTCTAATGTTGAACTTTTAGATTTTTCTTCTACTCACTTTGGGCTTTGTTCTTTTTTGACTTGCTTTATGTATAAGGTTTTATTATTTATTTGAGATTTTTCTTATTTCTTGGCTATGTCCCATAGAATTTGGGGGTCATTCTGTTTTTATTTTCATTTTTTTCAAGGTATCTTTTTATTTATTTCTTGATTTTGTTATTAATCCATTCATTGTTTAGTAGCATATTATTTAGTCTTCACATCTCTTGTGTTTTTCAGTTTTCTTGTAACTGATTTTTAGTTTCATACCATTGTGATCTGAGAAGATGCTAGATAGGATTTCAATCTTCCTGAATTTACTGAGACTTGTTTTATGACCTAACATGTGGTCTGTTTGGAAAATGTTCTATGTGCACTTGAAAAGAATGCATTCTGATGCTTTGGGGTGAAATGTGCTGAAAATATTAACTAAATGCATCTGGCTTAATGTGTCATTTAAGGCCACTGTTTCCTTGTTGATTTCCTGTCTGGATGATAGATCCATTGATGTCATGTGGTGTTAAAGTCCCCTACTATGTCTGTATTACTGTTTATCTCTTCTTTTGTATATTTATCTTATATATTTAGATACTCCTATGTAGGGTCTATAAAAGTTTACAAGAGTTACAGCTTCTTATTGGATTGATTCCTTTATATTATAAAAATTAGAGGCCTGGTGCACAAAATTTGTGCATGAGGGGGAGTGGTCCTTCAGCCTGGCCTGCACCCTCTCACAATCCAGGACCCCTTGGGGAATGTCCGACTGCCGGTTTAGGCCTGATCCTGGAATTGGGCCTAAACATGCAGTCAGACATCCCTCTTGCAATCCGAGACCACTGGCTCCTAACCACTCACCTGCCTGCCTGATCTCCCCTAAGCACCTCTGCCTGCCTGATTGCCCCTAAC